ACGTCAAAAAGGACTCAGTGTAGTCCAAGCGCAAATGGTGATGGAAGATCATCCAGCAAAAAAAAACTGACTGAAATTTCACTCATATCAACCGTAGTTGAGGGCTACTTTTCTAGGTTTGGGAATGGAAGAACAGACCTCCCCGTGGCCTACAGTTTTGCGCCATTTTGTGAGCAAAGGACAGAACAATGACAAACTGAATGTAAGAATTGCAAGCAAAGAGGCCCCATGATGAACCGACCGTAAGAGGGGGCAGGATCACCAGGACCCTCTACTGTGGAGCAATGCGTTATACTAATTGCTGTTCACAACCCCAAATGAGCACCAAATTCGCCGACAATTAATTAGCGTATACCACTATAATTGCACCTCCCAGCCCAGGCCCATTTTGGTTGATGTTTCTAAGTCCTTGACGCTCTGATGACCGTTGAGAGTTGATTGGCCTATGGCCACTCTGATTACCTTCCTTTTAGTTGCTGCTTCTTATCTCTGAAGAAGGACTCCTGCGAGTGTTCCAAGGCTCACGACAATAAACCAATTGATCCAGTGCTCGACCAGCTTTCTTCCTTGTCCATGCAAATAGCTGAAACGCGAACGTTTACATTCACTTTGAACAGTTTTCAAACAGGTAAGGATCACGGAAAAACTGACATACGCCATCCAGGTCCCTAATCGCTGACTGGTACTGGGGTCGAATGATAAGAAATTCATTCCTTTTAATGTGGTTGTTGTATCTCTAAGAGCGTTTGTTGCTTTCTTGTTTCTAGGCCACCCTCGTCTTTGCGGCAAACGAGGACATCCAGAAAGGCCAGTTGGTTGTTTTTCCCTTTTTCATCGTAAATTGAATCTCCGGTAAGACGGCGTTTAGACGTTTCTTGAATGTCAGCACCTGATCCCGCTCAATAACGACGAAAGTGTCGTCCAAATACTCTTTTTCCAGTGATCGCATCTACTTCTTCTGAACTGCTCCCTGGAACTCGCATGTTCACTTCTATTGGAAATTTCTTTGGGCGCGATGCGCTCCGATCGGCTCGACGGTGGAAAAAATTTACCTGTCGAGAGTCGTCGTCTTATGCGTAGCTTAGATTTCTATCTAGGTGTCTTACTCGGCCGACATTTCGGATTCACTCTCGACCGCCTCATCAGAGACAGCATCAGATACAGGTTATCCGAACACAGGGAGTTGCAGCATGCTATGCTATCGTATACCTAGACGAATTATCTGTGCTCCCTCCTCAGTCTTGGCCTTGTTGCGATAACTGCTTGCTAGCCAGCATTCGAATAGTTAATTGTCATGAATTCAACATCTGTTTTGGATGTGAGCTTGATAAACTATTCGGCCATTCGGCTCACTGTAATTGGCGTTGGGAACAGCGTTTAGACGGGGAGCCGTAGTATGCATGGGACGCAGTCGCAGTGCCGTTAAATACCTACAATAACTAACGGCTTCATAAATTATGGCTGCCCTCTGGTACCTTAATTATTTGATGACCGGATGCGGGCCGTCACCCACCGTAATTTAATCACACGTGTTTGATGTCGGCGTGATGATAGGTCGACTACCTGGCTGACCAACTTTGGCGTTCGAAAATGTGCTCGCCTGTACGCCCCCTAGATGGCTAATTACTTTGGCCAAGGCAAGTCTCCGCAGCGAATATGAGGCCGAGAAAACCGTTGCACCTGTTAATAGACTGGAGGCTCATTAAAACGGACTGAAACAGAAGGAGATGCGATCGATGGAACAAGAGTTTTATTTTTTCTGACCTTTCGGATTCTGTCGAGGATCCTTTATCACAAGTAATCGTAGGAAAGTCGGAGACACGCGCAGATAAGGGTGATACATGTCTCCAACTTTCCTACGATCACCTATGATTAAGGATTCTCGACAGATTCCAAAACGTCAGGAAAATAAAACTCTTGTTCCATTGATGGCATCTTCTTCTTCTAAACTGCCTCCTGGAAATCGGCGATTATCACCTATCGTGAGAATTACCACCAGAATTGACTTGGTAGATTGGGGCCGCATCTCGTTTAATGAGCTACGATTGTTCGAGCATTCGCATCTGCAGCCGCCTTCCAGTTGCTGCAACGTTATTGCTTTGTCCGCTCTAATAAACGACTCCTGCCGTTTCTGGCCTTAACAGCGGGTCACTTTGGCTCATTACAGTAGTCGCCGAAAATCACGCAACATGCCGATATGTGCGAAAGATTGATACTCTTGCTAATTGATTGTCCTGTTGTTTATTCTGAAGCCATTCCAGTCATGGTAGGATACCGGCTTTTTAACGAGCTTCATTCTCACCACTCGCAAAACGTATCTATTGTAAAAACAGGCTACTTAAATGGTATGCCTTTTTATCATTTATTTTGACTGCGCCGCCTAGATGGCAAACTAGTTTGACTAAGGCAAGTCTCCGCAGTGAATATGAAGTCGGGGAAAACATCCAACTTGTTAGTAGACTGGAGGCTCAGTATAAATGACTGGAACAGCTCGCGGCCTCAGCGATTATCACTTATCTTGAGAATTTTCACCAGATTGGACTTGGATGAGTGGAGCCACGTCTCGTTCAATGAGGTGCGAGTGCTACCGATTGTTCGAACATTTGCATCTAATGCAGTCTTCCAGTTGCCACGATGTAATTGCTTTGTCTGCTCCAATAAATGATTCCTGACGTTTTTGACCATAACAGCGGGTCACTTTGGCCCATTACTTGACACCGATCTGCACGCTATTCCGACTCCAAGTAGTGCAAGAAGAGAGCCGACAGCCTCCGAGATATTTATGACGTAAGGAATTGTTTGTAAATCGTTGGGGCGTATACGATTTAGAAGCTCGTCTCGTTTTTGTATGCACCGGTTTGCGGAGTTGCGCCGGTAGCCATTTTCTTTATACACGTAGATATAGTGACTTTATTTAATTGGGTTTGTGGTTGATTCAGTACTTGCGTCGTGTTTGTCCGAGCCGTTAATAACCACGATTGGGTGAAGACATGATAACCACTTCGCGATTTGACTGGTTGTCATTGGACATTCGGTTGCTCACGTCCTCATGACGTGACTGTTGCCCTACCGAGGCAAAGTCTCAGCACAGTATTTGGGAAAGGAGAACTTTATGCTTGTTGATGTCTGTGGATACTGCGGCTCTTAATAACTCAGATGAGGACTGGGCAGCAAAGGTAGCTTCATGTGTGACTCCAGCAGTGGTCGCGAGAGCTGCTAATTATAGTACGCGGCCACTGCCTACCATAAAAATCGTGTTCACCGTACCTCTGTTACCGTTATCTGCAACAGCCTCTGATGTTATGTTCAAATGAGAAGCCCAAAAATCGGGCCAGCCAATTTCTGATTTCAACGATCACATCATTTACTTCCTGGAACACGTCTATTCGTTTAAATTAACGCCCAAGTCCTTCAAGTTCTGAAATTCTGTCTCAGGAGATACTTCAGGTTTGACGGAAGAATCTACCAGCAGGTGAAGGCAACAACAGTGCGTTCGCTCTTTTCTGAGCTCAGATCCGAGGCGGTCTTACAGCAGAATGAGTCACTGGTCTTCCAATAACACAGAAAAAAATTCTGGGCTCAGCGTAATCAAACAAAGTTGGCTTTTGACGTTCAAAGTTTGTAGAAGAAAACAAACAACAGTATAACCCATCCCTAGGGCGTCTGGACATGCAAATGTGCAAACAGACTTATCCGACCATTTCGTATCTCTACATTCTGGGATTGAAAATATTTGATTTAAAAGTAAGGTAGAGAATAATTATTGTAATGGGTCACCTTCATAGAAAAAAGGTGTGTGGAATCAAATAATAATAATAATAATAACGTAGGGAATTTATAGATGTGAAAAGTTGAATCGTAAGATAAAATACCAAAACGCGGAATAATGCCTTTAGTATCAGAATCAGTATAAACTGAAAGTAAGACGCCGTCACTGATGCTAATCTGACTCATAGTCGTCCTCATCTGAGTATTCAGAGCCACCGAATCGCTTCAACTGGTGGTTTTGCACGCGCCATAACAGACACAAACTCAGAAGGCTGAAGAAGGTGAAGAAGAGGCAGAGGGAGAGGAAAAGACCCCAGGCAAAGATGCGGGGAGCCAGGCCCGAGGGTCCGCAACTCATGAACATCACTGACTTGACAGCGTAGTGCAGCTCGCCACAGGGCAGGAGGCTTTGGGTCAGATTGGCGAAGGCCTCATTCCCGGTTGCATTGACGGAACCAAGGAGGGCATCCGTGAAACTGTTAAGAGGTCCATCAAGGGCGTTGGCTACCGAATTTTTGTTCGCTGTCAACTTGATACGAGCAGAGAGAACGAAGTTCGTCAGAGCATTTCACTACAGTCTCCCAATATGATGCTGCTTTTACAAACAGACAAAATACCTGCTATTGGTAACTATTTTAAACTTTGGTATATATACAAATTCTCAAATATTAGATAAATATATGGGTGTCTATTTTCTATATATTTTAGAGTCCCAATTTACTGTTTGTAGATAGAAACTGGAATAAGTCTGCCATCTTACGGAATGTTGACATAAAGTATAAATGTGTCGAGGAATTGACAGAATAATTTACGCAGCTATTAGTTGACGTGACGTCTAATTGCAAGTGGTTTCCTTCACGCAAGGAGGACGGCCTTTAAATGAACTTCCTTACGGGTCGTTGGCGAAATCCACTCCGTGGCAAACGATTGCAAAAGACAAATGTAATTTATAGGAACTACGCATTGTCCATTCCTTCTTGTACACAAATACGTCAATGTCAAAATACGTCTTCTTTAATGTTTAACTTTAAAGAATGTCTGTATTTCGGCTTTCAAATATTTCCAATTTAAACCCCGTGAAATGCCAACTCATAATACATCACATCTGCCCACTTATTATTATTTTTGTTAATAAATTACACTTG